ACACAAATCTACGAGGACGTGCATATATACAGTTCTTGGTTAATACGTTAGTCACACGCTCTGTCTTGAATTCTGTGTAGGCTATTGATGTTTATTCAGTACCGAACCAATCCGTGTGTATGACATTCACACTATATGTAACAGAACGTGGCAATTCAGCCACGTGACATTCGCTAACGCGTCCCTGACCAATCAACAATCAGGAGACGAAGCGCGGTGTTCATTCACTACAAGATTTGTTTTTATTGATGTTTATATTTTTATAATTTTAACTCCGACTGAGTTGATCTGAGTTTTGTGTCTCTGCGATGTGCGCGCCATCTCTCGCTTGCCGATGGCAGTTATTTATTAGAGCAGTTATTGGTGGTGTCGCTGGCATCGCTGTGTGGAATGCTAGTGGCATCGTTAGGGGATGCTGTGATCGAGACAGGTCAGCCAGGCACCGCACACCACAGCTGCTTGATTTTCCCATCGCTTATTAGCGAACTGCAGCTTGTTGTACACTAACAAATAGCACATGTTACCGCATGGCCGCACAGCGCCATCTATAGGCGAAAAAAATCTGCAAATATTCGAGACGGCCCTCGGAGCATAAAAAAACTGGAGTTGACGAAGTGCAAGTTGAATGAAATGCGACCAGCTAGAGTGATCTTGCTCTTTTTCCTACCAGCCCCACTTCGAGAGATACACGCACTTTATATATCTCTGCTCATGACTCGAGTTTCGTTTTGCTGCACGTGTGCGCGCCATTTTTTTTCAAGGCACGAAGGAAAACAGCAAGGAGAATGCGGTCGGGAGAGGTTTTTTGTGGTTTTTTTGGAGAAGGGGGATGGGGAAGCTGATTCATGACATTGTAGATGTTACTAAATGTCAGACAAGCGCTACTGTTTGCAGGAAATTACTCGTGGATAGATAATTGTCAATTTTAATTACGCTGCTGGGATTTAAATCCCGGGTTTTATACCCCTACCGAGATTTCACTCTTTGGCTTTCCCCTCTCTTTCTTCCTTTACCCCTTCTCCTTCTTATCTTCCTCCTCCTTCTCACTTCCATCCTCCCCTAATCCTCATACTGCTATTGTTTTTTCATCTTCTTCTACTTCTTATCGTGATTTTACTCCTCTTCTCATTCTGCCCCTCCGCCTTCTACAACTACCTCCTCCTTCTCCTCTTCCCCTTCTCATCCTCCTTCTCCGCCTTCTACAACTACCTCCTCCTCCTTATCCTCATCCTCATCCTCCTCCTCCCCTTCTCTTCCTCCTCCTCCTCCTCCTCCCCTTCTCATCCTGCTCCTCCGCCTTCTACAACTACCTCCTCCACCTCCTCCTCCTCCTCCTCCTCCTCCCCCACCTTCTACAACTACCTCCTCCTCGTTGTCCCCTTCTCTATCTAACCTCAACTATGCCTTGCTCCCTTTTTGAACTCGACCCCCCCCCGAGCGACGCAGTCTCCCTCTCTCACTCCATCTTCCTCTCTATTCTCTTCCCCCTCTCTCTTTCTCTTTCCTTGTTTCTCTCTCATTTCCTTCTCTGACTACAGCTCGCGCTATCTCTCTACTCTCTCTCCTCCCTCGTTTTCCTCCCCCGTCCATCATTCTCCTCTTCCATTCCCCTCGCCCTCCACCACACTAAATATACCCCACATTCTCGCTCGCTCGCTCCCTCGCCCGATCTCGCTAGCATAGCTTCATGTTTAGATGGTGTAGTGTTTCACATTTGCTCGCTGCGAGTTTCGCTCCCGCACAGCGCCGAGCATTCGTTGCTAGTCAGTAGTAGTGAGTCGATGTGTGTAAGTCAGTGCACCTGGCTTCCCAAGAATCTCTCCTTGTAGCAGTGTAGCTGGGCGCGAGGTACCCGTACTGTGTCGGAGCTTGCGGCTATAGTGTCTGTTCGTGGATGGTGCCTACGCCTGTGACTGCTATCGGTGGCTATCTCTCTCTCTTACACACACGGTGAGCTTTATCGTCTTTGATCGTTGCCTCGCGGTTGCGCATCCGGAGTTCTCTCTCGGTCTTCATCGGTTAGTCGTGTCTGGTCTATGTCGATGCCACGCCCACGTTCGGCTGGCGCGGTAACTGCGGTCGTTCTGGTTATCGTTGTCAAGGTTACCGTTGTCACGGTTGGCTGTGGTGACGGTTGTCGTGGTGACGGTTGTCGTGGTCGTGGTGACTGTTGTCATGGCTTCCGTTGTCACGGTAACTGTCGTGACGGTTGCTGTAATGACGGTTACCGTGGTGGTGGTTACTGTTGTCATGGTTTCCGTTGTCACGGTTACTGTCGTGATGGTTACTATGGTGACGGTTGTCGTGACAACAGTCATTGTTGTGATCGTGGTTGATATGATCAAAGCATTAGTCATTTTGGTTTTACATCGAACGAAAGCATAACAATGTTCACGCTCCCGTCTTTCTATCTATTCTAATCCAAGTTCGATACCATATCTGGCCATCGATACATGTATCAATAATCAATCAATCGCCGACGTATTACCTAATCATCGATTTCTAGGCGATCGGTTAGATCGTACCTCCCCTCGCACACATCGTTTGTCGTGCACGTGCGCGCGAGAGCAGCGACCTCCAGCGGCCAGCGTCATCGTCATGGATGAACTAGCGGACCTGGTCCTACACAAGGACACGCCCAACTCTTCATGGGGTTTCCGTATGCAGGGCGGCGTCGACTTCGATTGCGAGCTGATGGTCCAGAGGGTAATGTGTCATCTACACGCACGCGCACGCACGCACGCACGCACGCACGCACGCGCACACGCACGCACACACATACACACACACACACACACACATATACACACAAACATACACCGGGATGCAGCACGCAGTCTGGAAAGAAGCAGGGATATGGAGTAGAGAGAGAGACAGAGGTAGGAGTAACCATGGGTTAGGAGTAGCCGTGTCGTGGGTAGGAGTGTCTATCCACTGATAGGCGGTCTTGGTGGGTAGGGTGGCAGTGGATAGGGGGTGACAGTGGTAGCAGATGGCATGGTATATGGGATGGCAGGTGTAGGAATAGGCAGAGGTTGAGATTCGTGGGGCTGCGAGGTAGCTGGGCGTAGCAGTGGATAGGCGGGTTTAGGTGGTAGATATGGCAGAGGCTAGGGGGTGACAGGCGTAGAGGGCGGCATCGGTAAGGAGTGACAGTGGTAGGGTATGGCAGAAGGTAGAGCATAGCAGTGGGTAGATGTGGCGAGGGTAGAGAATAGTAGAAGGTAGGGGTGACCAAGGAGCTAGCAACTGTCAGTGATTTAGCTCACTGTGGGCCGCATAACAACGTCCTGCCTTTATACGAAGGATATAAATATAGGAAAAGTTTAAGCATGATTAGGCTTGATAGGTATTTGCAGGAGGGGCATAATTTGCATAATTGCATAATTTGCATAATTTGCATAATTTGATTGCATAATTTGCATAATTTGCATAATTTGCATCATTTGATGCATAATTTGCATAATTTGCAGGAGGGGAAGATGGGGAGAGGGGAGTCGAAAGATGAAAGAAGGGATGGGAGGAGATAGGAAAAGAGAAGAAGAGGATGCGGAGATGCGAGGAAGATGATACGAGGTTGAGGAGGAAAAGGAAAACGAGAATGCAGAGGGGATGGGAGGACAGAAGGAGAGACATTGGTAGCAGCGGAGAAGTAAGTGATCGGGAGATAGATGGGAGATGAGAGAGTGGTTAAGGAGAGGGCGGTTAAGGAGAGGGGCACACAGGAGAGGAGGAAAAGAGGAGAATCGCTGGCAGTGGATAGGCCAGGGAGTGGAGTCGTGGGGTAGGAGGAGAGGGGTGATTAGAAGGTGTGGTAAAGTAAAGGGCGGTAAAGGAGAGGTAGGAACAGAGGATATGGGAAAAGAAAGAGGAGCAGGCGAGAGGAAAAGGTAGAGTCAGATAGGCGAAGGAGGACAGGAGAAGAATCAGTGATAGCGCAGAGGGCGGCGAGGGAGAGGTAGAGGCAGAGACCATAGAGAGGGAGAGGGTAAGAGAAGAATCATTGATAGTGGAGAGAGGCAGGGGAGGGAGAGATCAGAGATGCTAAACCAAATAGAAGAATATTTTTTTGGCCACTCTCACTAAATGTCAGCATGGCTGGAATTTATGTGCCCCCCCCTCCTCCAGCTGCAAACGTTCGCGTTAAGTTGGGCAACAAAAACACTCGAATTCCAATTTTTACTTGCCCCCCTGACGATAGGCGCTTACTCCCATACATACAGTGTACTGCCTCACAAACACCAATCAAAGATTAATAATCACTAATGATCAATTAATTATAATCAACACATTTCAACGAACGATGAATAACAGAACAACACCAATAACAATATTTGATTGTATTTATAATCTTTAATCTTATAATTTTGATTATCATTCGTAAACCTTTATCGTTCCTAATACATTTTATTGCATTGATCATTTTTAAATATTGATTTTATTTAATCGATTATTGAATCAGTCACTTATCGATGAGCATTTAATCACTAGGCGATGCGCGACCGGATGCCGGGCGCAGATGTTTGAGACAAGACAGGTGACCGGGTGACACGCGGGGGATTAATTAAGGATCGCAATTAATACAATTAAGGATCGCAATTACAACACGATTACATTTAATTACTCAATTATTTTATGCATTTAATTAATCAATTAAGTAATCAATTAATTAATATCGCTGATTTAAAACATTTGCATATTTTCATCCGTCGTGTAGAGCCGTTACCATGGCAACACGCTGTCAGATTTATTACCATGGCAACGGCCAGCTCACTATAAGCATATCCCTGAGACATTATCTATTCATATACAATTGTTGTTGACGCGTTACCATGGCAGCGGGTGAGTTCGATTCGTTCTTTTCTAATAGATATCTCTCCACGTACTGCCGTCCACTAGGGGGGCGTTACTTCCACCTAGGTTTCAGACGCCCTCTGGCGGGATACGTCTTGCCGACAGGAAGGCGTCAGGAACTTTCCTGTTGAAATTTTCCCCGTCTAGCACTAACGACGCCGGGAAGACAGCACCTGTCACCACTAACCGATAAATTACTGCTAGCGCGCGCATGTCGGCACAGCGTTTTTCTAGCCATAATTAAAGCAGAGGGCGATATTTTTGACATCTGAATTCGTGCTGGTGGGGGAAAATGGAAGATCTATATCCAGTGCGAGGTCATATTATTGGGAGAGAAATTTTATATCCGGTTTGAGGTCATGCTATAGTGGGCGGGAAATTTCATATCCGGTTTGAGGTCATGCTATAGTGGGCGGGAAATTTCATATCCGTTTAAGTTACACGTCGTACGTGGAGTCCCAGCATGGAGGGAGAAAACAGCTGTGCAGGGCGTGACGTCATG